ACACTGGCCTTTTGCCCTCACTAGCGGAGGGCAGCTGCCCCACGCGACAGGCACAGGGGCCAACTGAGCTGCTAATATACTGCCATCCATTGGGCTATGGACAACGGAACTAAAAGAGCTAATCAGCACACTGACGCCCCCTCTGGGGCTTGTCCAGGAGCCACCACATTCCCTTGGGGTAACATGCCTGACCCGGCTGTAGGCCCTGCACATGGAGCTTGCTCCTGTGTTGGCGCTTAGAGTGGCCAGCCGGGTCCCGCACTCACTCACTCGCATGCTCCCTCCCGCAAGGGGCTGAGCACAGCAGGCTGAGTAGACAGGGTGCCCCTGCTGCAAGTCTGGCAAAGGGGCCAAGAAAAATCCTGCATCGACTAGTCAACTGGGAATCATAATAAAACGTTGAGATGGAGATTTTTTTAAAGGGAGGAGGTGAGTCTTCTACAAAGTGAAGATTGTCCCAAAAAGTGAAGATGTGGTAAGATTCTTTACCACATCACAGGCTTGTGGTGAAGAAGAAATGAATTAATAAATGCATGTTAGCACAATGCCTGGCTGTCAGGTATTTGCAGTTATTACTGTCATTGGTATTCCTAGAAGAGGGACTGGCACAAAGCAGGTGCTGTCATTATGGTTACTATATTTAGCTATTTTCCATATCCACATAATTCTTTACTTAATGTGTTCACTTAACTGATCCTTGGGTTGATCCAGTGGTATTGTTTGCATCAGTGATCACTTGCAGATATCTGCAAATAACATGAATGGAGAACAAACAAAAAAATCAATCAGGGGCCGGGTGCAGTGGCTCACACCTGTAATCCCAGCACTTTGGGAGGCCAAGGTGGGCGGATCACCTGAGGTCAGGAGTTCAAGACCAGCCTGGCCAACATGGTGAAACCCCGTCTCTACCAAAAATACAAAAATTAGCTGGGTGTGGTGGCAGGCGTGTGTAATCCCAGCTACTCAGGAGGCTGAGGCAGAAGAATAGCTTGAGCCCAGGAGGCAGAGGTTGCAGTGAGCTGAGTGCTGAGTGCAGAGTGCATCGCGCCACTGCACTCCAGCCTGGGCACCAGAGTGAGACTCCATCTCAAAAAAAAAAAAAAAAAAAAAAAAAATCGATCAAGGAGTGAAAAACACAGGTCTGTAGACAAGCTAGTATACACAGGCTGTTCCTGTTTCTACCTCTTCTTGGGCCTTAGCCTCCTGTGGGACCCTTGTCTTTCTTGGGCCCCTCACCCTCAGTAGCCTCTTGGCATTTTCACCCATTTCTCTGTGCCCAGTAAAATGACATCCAGTCTGAAAATAGGAATTTTCTATCCCCATGTAAAGTTCACTTGCAAGGTGGTTTCAGCCATTGCCCTGAGATGAGAAAGAAGAAGGAAGCATTGGTATGTGTATCATTAATGAACAAGGATTTGCAGGCACTGAACTAGCCCTAGGGAGATAATCATAAGATACAGCCCCTGCCCTCGAGAACTTCCAGGCTACAAGGGAGAGCTTCTGGCCCAGCAAGGGAAAAGGCCCAGGAATCTGGGGTGGGCAGTTGTATTAAGGTTCTTGCCTCTCACCAGTGGGACTGGAAACCTAGTGGGAAATGTTAGGTTGGAGGTACCTCAGGGACCACAAGTATACGAGTTCAGAAGAGGTCTGAATAGATGGGCCCAGAGCCCAGGGGAATAGCAGGGCAACAGAAACACATCCAGCCATGGAAGATTCAGGCACTGATTGGCCAGGAAGCAGGCCAAGAAGAGAACCCTGGCGAATTCCAATGTCAAACACATTGCCTTGCACTTCTCTTCTATTTCCTTCCCTTTAAAGACACAATAACGGCACATCAGGATATTGTGTAAATACCTCTAGAAAAAGAACAGAAAGCTCAACTGATGAGAAAAATATCTTTGAATTACCTGATCCCATCCCTCTTCATAGGGGCAGATAGGGGATTGGAAAATTCTTTTGTTGTTGTTGTGTTTTTTTGTTTGTTTTTTTGTTTTGTTTTGTTTTGTTTTTGCTTGTTTGTTTGTTTTGGCAAAGTCTCACTCTGTTGCCCAGGCTGGAGTGCAATGGTGCAGTCTCAGCTCACTGCAACCTCCGCCTCCCGAGTTCAAGTGATCTCCCGTCTCAGCCTCCCAAGTAGCTGGGATTACAGGAGTGCACCACCATGCCCAGCTAATTTTTTTTGGCCTTTTTGGTACAGATGGGGTTTCACTATGTTTGCCAGGCTGGTCTCGAAAGCCTGACCTTAGGTGATCCACCCACCTTGGCCTCCCAAAGTGCTGGGATTACAGGCGTGAGCCACTATGCCTGGCCGGAATATTCTTACGATGGTGTTCTAGGGCAGCACTAGGAATGCGGTTAGATGGCATGGCCATTGGCAACGTCCACCTACCAAAAAGCAGACAGCTGCAGCGGAGGGGCCTGCACATTCATAAAGGATCACTCATGTTGGCGTCGTTTGTAGGAGCAGGACATTGAAAATGGCCCAAATCTATTGGTATGGTTCATCTGCTCTACAGCCATTGAAAGACTAGGGAAGTTCTTCGTGTATTGATTTGGGTTTGTTGTTGTTGTTGTTGTTATTTTGTTTTGTTTTGAGATGGAGTCTCACTCCGTTGCCCAGGCTGGAGTGCAGTGGTGCGATCTCAGCTCACTGCAACCTCCGCCTCCCAGGTTCAAGCGATTCTCCTGCCTCAGCCCCCTGAGTAGCTGGGATTACAGGTGCCCGCCACCACGCCCAGCTAATTTTTGTATTTTTAGTAGGGATGGGGTTTCACCATGTTGGCCAGGCTGGTCTCCAACTCCTGACTTCAGGTGATCCACCCACCTCGACCTCCCAAAGTGCTGGGATTACAAGCGTGAGCCACTACGCCCGGCCTTGTGTATTGATTTGTAACAGTCACACACACACATACACACTCCATACATAGCCTCTTACATATATAGTGAGCAAACAGCAGTGGTGTTCACAGCGTGCTACCAATTGTGTTAAAAAGGAGAGTGGGACGGTACATTTGCATTTTATGTCTACGTTTGCTCACATGCATACACAATATCACTGGAAGTAGACAAAACCAAAAACAAAACAGAAAAACAAAAAAACACAACCCTGGTAACTTTGAGAAAGGGAATTAGGAGGCTCGAGGATGAGGTGGGAGCAGATTTTTCGCTGAATGCTTTTGTACCTTTTGAATATTGAACTATGTAGAAAAGTAACCTATTCAAAAAATAAACAAGCTTAATTATTTTCAAAGAGACAAGCAAAAATAATCCCTGAGGAGCCATATGAAAATGCCCTTTAGGGAAGATTCTCACGGAGAATAGAGGTGTCATGAAATGTGCCTTGCTGTGTCTGGAGGCGCTCAGAAGTTAAACCATGTGAAACTCGGCCTCAGTTATCCCACTAAGATGCTTCTTGCTGTGAAGTCTATGTGCTGTGAAGACGGACCTTTCTGGGGGAAGAAGGTGGGGGTGGATTCACAGCCAGGGGAAAAGATCAGAAGGAAAGAAAAGGTTTGGGAGACCCCAACATTGGTATAGAAGAAACTTCTAGTTATCATTTCAACCAGATAGTCAGGTGCTATAGAGCAGGATCCAGAACTGTAAGATTTTTACCCTTTTATAGAACTTCCCCATGTTTTCTCCCTTAAATCGTGTCTTTTCTCTTGTAATAATGGACATGAAAGTCTCAAAATGAAGAGGGTCTGTGAGCTTGTGTTCCGGGACCACAAGGAATGGTGGCCAGAAGGAGACCATCTTCCCTGAGCCCATCTTGGAGGGAAGAGAAATGCCATAGGCTGGATGGGTGGTGACAGCTACCAAGAGGAGAGGAGAGCAGGGGAAGCCCTGGGACGTGCCATGGTGAAATGGGAGGGCTGTGAAGAGCCTGCCTGGACCTGTGTACTGCCCGGGGACTCAGGAGAAAGGGGTTCTGCAAATGCAGTGACAGATAAGCATTACTCGGTAATAGGATTAAATTTGAAACTCTTACAGGTGAGATGTGACTAGCCCATTCTTGTATCACAGAGAGCTAGGCTTTTCTTCATTCAACAGGTATTATTTTATTTTATTTATTTATATTTTTTTGAGATGGAGTTTCATTCTTGTTCCCCAGGCTGGGGTGCAATGGCGTGGTCTTGCTTACTGTGACCTCCACCTCCCAGGTTCAAAAGATTCTCCTGCCTCAGTCTCCTGAGTAGCTGAGATTACAGGCACCCACCACCACGCCCAGCTAATTTTTTTCATTTTTAGTAGAGACAGGGTTTCACCATGTTGGCCAGGCTGGTCTCAAACTCCTGATCTCAGGTGATCCGCCCGCCTCGGCCTCCCAAAGTGCTGGGATTACACGTATGAGCTACTGCACCTGGCCATTCAACAGGTATTATTTTATCTTCATTGTTACTAAAAGAGCATAGAGGAACCTTCCTGTTTATTTTCTTACCTCATGCTGATCTTGAAACAACAATGAAAATGCTTCCACTACAGGGATCTTAATCAACACCAAACACTTCAAATGAGGGAAGATTATTTACTCCCATCTCTTCCCCCTTTTCCTTTTTGATGCTGACAACTTGCTACTTTAACCTGTTTTGCCCCGTCTTTCCCAGAAAAAATCAACAAACATGTCTGCACCTACTATAGGCAGACACCTGTCGATTCAATGAAGTGTAAGCTTCCAACTTTGGCTGGGCACAGTGGGCGTGTAATCCCAGCACTTCGGGAGGCCAAAGGGGGAGGATTGCTTGAGTTCAGGAGTTCAGGACCAGCCTAGGCAACATAGGGAGACCCTCATCTCTAAAAAAAAATGTAAAAAATTTAGCCAGGCATCGTGGTGTACATCTGTGGTCCCAGCTACTCGGGAGGCTGACATGGGAGGATTGCTTGAGCCCAGGAGGTCAAGGCTGCAGTGAGCTGTGATTGTGCCACTGAACTCCAGCCTGGGAGACCAAGTGAGACCCTGTCTCAAAAATAAAATAAAATACAGTTTTCGGTTTTGCTTGCAGGGAGTTTGCAGTCTCACTGGGGGACAAAGAATTACACTTAGAAGTGAGTACTAATGCTTTAGAGCATATGTTCAACACGAAGCCAGAGAAGTCGATAATAAAGGCTTCGGGAATCCACCTGCTGGAAACATCCTGTGGATGGAGACACGCAAGCTTCTTGCAGGAAGGCAGGCCTGGAAGGACCGGTTAGACTTACGGGAGGACTACAGAGAGCACTTCAGGCAGGTGTGGAGCTTCCTTGTGGAATGAGAGGGAGCCCGTTAGCTGAAGGGGAGGACCAGGGAGCTGTCATCGGTGGATGTCGTTGCTGAGTCAATGAAAGTCTAAAGTAGGATTTTCCCAGACTTACAGAAACCCTGTGTATTGCAAACATACCCGCCACAGTGTTAGAGAGATAACAAGGACTCTGATCAGACTCCTGTGACTTGGCAGCTTAGTATGGGTAACGGGGGGGCATTGTGCTCAGGGGAGGCTACGGTATCTCTGTTCAGCCCAATCCTCTTAAGTCCCTCCTTGCACAGTTGGAACCAAGATAAGGGCGAACTTTAAAGGGTGCCTCACTCTCTCTCCCTTCAAGCTCAACTCGGATTCTTTCTTTCTTTTCCTCTCTCCATTCTCTTCCCTGTCCTGCTTACGGCCAGATGTCAAGGAGAAATCCCTTCCCACTGTGAGTTTTGGTTGTGATGTCAACCTGTGACATTTGCCTTTTTAGAGAGATCATGTGCATGCATTGATTAATGGAGAGTGTAAATTATGGGAACAGGCTGGGCACGGTGGCTCACGCTGGTCATCTCAGCACTTTGGGAGGCAGAGGCGAGAGGATCAAAGAATTCAAGACCAGCCTGGACAACATAGGGAGACCTCATCTCTAAAAAATATCTATTTTTAAAAATATCTAAAATTAAAATATGGGAATGATGCCAATAGTCTCATCTAAAAATCCCAAGTTTCTAGCTCCAGCTGTGACGCTTTTTAGCTGTGTGAACTTGGACTGTCACTCAAATTCCTCAGTTTCACTTATCTGCAAAATGAAACTTATTAATACTATCCTCTCTACTGTATGTGATCTTGAGGTTCAGATGAAATAATGTGAGAGCACTTTGGACGCTGAAGACCGTATTATTTGTAGCTCAGGGTGAAGACTGCATGGGGGCAGAGGGAAGTGAAGTTGGGAAATCTCAATAAATCCCAGTCAGCCCTATACTTTTAAAAAATTGTTTTATGTCGTTAAAAATAAGTTTAACTAGATAGCTCCCTTGGTATTTTAACAACTCTCACTTTCATGATTCCTTTTTCCTTTTAGATGTCCCTAAGTTCCAGCTCTCCCCTAAAAGTTCCAGCTCATCTCGCCTGGCCTCCCCCTGAGTCACTGGGACTCCCAGCCACTGCCACCACAGCTGAAATTCTCAATGCAGCATCTTCAGAGGCACCCTGGGCCCCAAGCATGACTCATCCAGGTTCCAGAGCCAAAGCGGACTGAACAACATAGAAAGACTTTTATTATAGCAGTGACAAGATGCTTTGCACGGTGTAGAGCTGAATTTACTTGGCTCCCATTAGAAACTCTTTCAGCTTAAGTACTTATTGTGGTAGTGAGTCCTACAGTATTTCAGTAAAAAGGAATTCATGGCATAAATGTGGACAGATTTATGGATGTAGAAACATGATGATAGATATCATGAGGTTGGTGATGGGACATATAACGGCACCATTGGTAGTACCAGGTGGGTGAGGCAGGTCCCAGAAGGATACAGGCTCATTCCCAAGGCTGCATGAGCAGTTGAATGGAGGGGCTGTTTACCGTGGTATCTTAGTTTGCTAGGGCTACACCAGAGACCAAGAGCCTTCAGCAACAGGAATGTATTTCCTTGCAGTTCTAGAAGCTAGACATCCAGGATCTGGCAGGGCTGGTTTCTCCTGAGGCCTCTCTCTGGGCTTGTAGATGCCATCTTCTCCCTGCATCCTCAAGTGGTCATCCCTCTGTATATGTCTGTGTCTAAATTTCTCCTCCTCCTCCTCTTCTTCTTCCTCCTTCTTCCTCCTCTTTCTCTTCTTCCTCCTCCTCCTTCTTCTTCTTCTTTCTTCTCCTTCTCCTCCTCCTCCTTCTTCTTCTTCCTTCTTCTTCTTCTTCTTCTTCCTCTTCCTCTTCTTTTTTTTTTGAGGCGGAGTTTCACTCTTGTTGCCCAGGCTGGAGTACAATGGCACCTCGGCTCACTGCAACCTCTGCCTCCCAGGTTCAAGCAATTCTCCCACCTCAGCCTCTGGAGTAGCTGGGATTACAGGCACCCACCACCGTGCTCAGCTAATTTTTTGTATTTTTAGTAGAGATGGGGTTTTACCATGTTGGCCAGGCTGGTCTCAAACTCCTGACCTCAGGTGATCCACCCACCGCAGCCTCCCAAAGTGCTGGGATTACAGGTGTGAGCCATGGTGCTTGGCCTTAATTTCTTCTTAAAAGGACGCCAGTCCTATTGGGTTACCACCCACCCTAGCCGCCTCATTTAACCCTAACCACTTCTTTAAACACTCTATCTCCAAATACAGTCACATTCTGGGGTCCCGGGGGTTAAGATTTCAGCATAGAATTTGTGGGAGACATAGTGTAGCCCATAACATATGCTGTGGGCAGAGTTAAGAGAATGAAGAAGGAGCTGGGTGCAGTGGCTCACGCCTGTAATCCTAGCACTCTAGGAAGTTGAGGTGGGCGTATCGCTTGAGCCTCTGAGTTCAAGACCAGCCTGGGCAACATGGTGAAACCCCATCTCTACCAAAAAAAAAAAAAAGAAGAAAGAAGAAAGAAAAGAAAAAAGTAGCTGGACATGGTGGTACATGCCTGTAGTCCCAGCTACTTGGGAGGCTGAGGCATGACGAGAATCACTTGAGCCCGGAAGGCAGAGGTTGCAGTGAGCCAAGATGGCACCACTGCACTCCAGCCTGGGCAACAAAGTGAGACTCTGTCTCAAAATAGATAAATAAAAAGAGCATGAAGAAGGGCTGGTGAAGTGCCCAGGAACTGGCAACAGCAGAAAACTTTATCATCCCTTAGGCTGGAGAGGCAAAGGAGAGAGAGAATGTGGAGTTCCTGGGATCAGTGAAGAGCTGTAACCACGGAAGAGGGGCCGTCCACCAGGACATGTGTGGTGTGGCCGAGCGACACAGCCACATCAAAACTGAGGCTTGGGAGCTGGGTGTGGTGGCTCACACCTGTAATCCCAGCACTTTGGGAGGCCGAGGTGGGAGCACTAAAGCCTAGGAGTTTGAGACCAGCCTGGGCAACATTGTGAGACTCCATCTCTAGAAAACAAAACCAAACAACAACAAAAATCCCCAAGGCCTAGCAGGGAGGGAAGACGGAGAAGACCCCACCTCTCTCCCTTCCCAGCCTTCCTCACTTTCAATAGCACCTCCCTTTGATCAAACTCATCTGGGTTTGGACCTCCTGGGCCCAAGCCATCCTCCCACTTCAGCCCCCTGAGTAGTTGGGACCACAGGCACATGCCACCTCGCTAATTGTTCTTTGGTTTTTTGTAGAATCAAGGTCTCCCTACGTTGCTCAGGCTGATCTTGAACTCCTGGCTCAAACTATCCTCCCATCTTGGCCTCATAAATTGTTGGGATTACAGGTGTGAGCCCCTGCACCCAGCTAACATTTGTTTTTCTATCATTCTGCTTTAACTAGATAAGAATCCTAGAGTCTGGGTGCAGTGGCTCACACCTGTAATCCCAGCACTTTGGGAGGCTGAGGCGGGTGGATCACTTGAGGCCAGGAGTTTGAGACCAGCCTGGCCAACATGGGGAAACCCTATCTCTACTAAAAATAGAAAAATTAGCCGGGTGTGGTGGCAGGCACCTGTAGTCCCAGCTACTCATGAGGCTGAGGCAGGTGAATCGCTTGAACCCAGGAGGTGGAGGTTGCAGTGAGCCGAGATTGTGCCACTGTACTCCAACATGGGTGACAGAGTAAGACTGTGTCTCAAAACAAAACAAAAACACTGACACACACGTTTGCCAAGCTTGTAATGTTGAACACTTGTGTCCTTGCGCTACATACTGTAAATATATATTTTGGCATGGTTTAAGATAGTGGCCTGGCAGTTCCCTGGGTACGTACTTGCTTCCTGCTCTATCCGGGTTGTTGGAAAAGACGTGAAATCACTCTTTTTTGTGCCTGCACAATTGGAGAATGTTAACTTTCTTGGTGGTTGCTTTTCTTTTTCCTTTTCTTTCATTCTCCTTCCCCCCCCCCCCCACCCCCATCCCCATCACACACCTGGCCTCCTCCTCCTCCTCCTCTTTTCATTTTTTTCATCTGGGCTCTCCTACTTGTGTTGCTCAGTTGCTCAGGCTGGTCTCAAACTTCTGGCCTTGAAACTTCTCCCGTCACATCCACTGTCTGGTTGTTGAAAGGGGCATCTCTTGTAAAATGAAAAAGATGAAAAAATAAAGAGAAACACACACACACACACACACACACACACACAAAGATAGTGCTGGGCCGGGCGCGGTGGCTCACGCCTGTAATCTCAACACTTTGGGAGGCCGAGGCAGGTGGATCACAAGGTCAGGAGATCGAGACCATCCTGGTTAACACGGTGAAACCCCGTGTCTACTAAAAATACAAAAAATTAGCCAGGCGTGCTGGCGGGCAGGTGCCTGTAGTCCCAGCTACTCGGGAGGCTGAGGCAGGAGAATGGCGTGAACCCGGGAGGCAGAGCTTGCAGTGAGCCGAGATCGCGCCACTGCACTCCAGCCTGGGCGACAAGGCGAGACTCAGTCTCAAAAAAAAAAAAAAGTGGCCTGGGCGGAAGGCCCCGGACACAGGGGTATTGATGCCCAAATGATAGGTGGGTTCAGTTGATTTGTTTGTCCTATCCAGGGTGAAGCGAATGTGTCTCCCTGAGTTGAGACCTTGTGTTCCTCCCATGTGTTCCAAAAGAAGACGGCTGTCAGGAAGGGTTTCCTCCTGGGCTGCCCCCAGAAGCCAGGGACAGACAGATAAGCTGGGATGGCCTGTAGCTCCATGCGTCTGACCCCCTTTGTCCCAGTGCATTCTTTGATTATATCATGAGCCTGTCACATTGCAGGCAGATGTTTGAATGGGCCAGACCAGAGTCTCTTCACAGCCCCTTTCAGAATAAGCTAAGATCCCCTGGGGCAAGGACGTATCAGGAGAAAGAAAGGCCCCTCCAGTGCCAGAGGCTGCATGTTGTCTCTCTTATCTGAGATAGGATCTCTCTCTGTGGCCCAGGCTGAGTGCAGTGGCGCCATCACAGCTCACGGCAGCCTCAACCTCCCAGGCTCCAAGCAGTGCTCCCACCTCAGCCTCCCGAGTAGCTGGGATTATAGGCGTGTGCCATCACACCCAACTAATTTGTTAGTTTTTTGTAGAGATGGGGTTTCCCTATGTTGCCCAGGCTGGTCTTGAACTCCTGGGCCCAAGCAATCTTTCCACCTTGGCCCCGCAAAGTGCTGGGATTCCAGGCATGAGCCCCCGCGCCCGGCCTGCATGTTGTCTTAAGGAGTATTTGGGTTATCTATTTCTGTGTAATAAACCACCCTGAATGCACTTGCTTGCAAGTCCGTCGTTTTCCTCATGAATCTGCAGTTTGGGCTCTGTGGGGAGGTTGTCTCTCTC